GGGTTACAGTAACACTGTGTGAAAGCTAACAATGCTACATGGATATATAAACCAAAGTAGGTTGGCCAGGGTTTGAACACGTGACCTGCTAACTGCATGAACTTTGGTATGTCGGGCGTCGTGGACTGTAAGCAAGAAGTAAGTATGAGTTTCCCGACCTTTCTTGCTACCTTGACGTGGTGGTCGGGCTTGCCTATCGCTCCTCAAGGTCCTACCGTGCCAAACAGGTCGGTTGAAGAGCGGCAAGACTGAAAGCAGCAAACCCAAGTTCCGAAGACGAAGTCGTACCGCTAACTGTACAGAGATGTGACGGCAGTAAAGTGTTTCTTTCAAACAACCAGCGTAACAGCGATGCTGCCTTCCCACAAGGACGGGAAGGGTTAGAGAAAGTTGACCCTAGAAATGGACACCTCGCCTTATCTCATGGATATCCGTCTTCGGTGGTAAGGTCTCAACAAGCATGAGCTAACACTAAAACTACTCACGAAACGGTCGTGTGTGGCCAACCTCAGGCAGTTGTCCCTTGGGCTCTGCGGTCACGCCTCCAGGTCGTTAAGACCAACACTAATCCAACTTCATTTTCAGCTTCCTCAAGAAACACCCTTGCACCGTGTGGGAAGCCGGGAAGTGACATCAGCCCTCATACCCGTAACAGCACGGAGACCAAGTTGGTCACATTTAAATCCTCCCTACACCTCATAATAACTCTCTTATTTCCATGACTAACCGTTTTCACGTCCATTTATCACCTCGCACCACTAGGGCAAACGATTCGAGTACGCGGAACGTTATTTCTGGTCTCCTGAAACGACCCTCTAAACTAAATCTAGGAGCTTTTAACGTCCGAACATTGTGCCAAATAGTACAACAAGCCTACTTAGCTAGGACTTTAGAATCTCGCGCCATCGATGTGTGCTGCGTCTCCGAAACGCGTATACAGGATCCGAGTAGCATCATTCATTTGAGCTTACCATGTCAAAATAAGGAACCAACTCGATTCACATTTCGTGTAGCTGGAAGCGCTGATGCTGCTTTCCCGTGACGTTGCTGGTGTAGGTATAGCAGAGTCCTAGGGCAGAACCAGCTGTCCTAGACCGGATCCCAGTAGACACTCGTTTGTGCGCTGTCCGACTAAAACGGAACAATAAGGATTTGGAAAGATAGGGGCACTCGTTGTTACCTATTCGTGGAAACAGTGGCGACATCTATTAATGATTTAAACCAAAGAATCATAAAAACCAGTGGATTTTTACTAAGTCTAATACTGATAGATACGCGTAAACTCATCCAATTAGGCTCTGAACATAATCAAGAACGAAAACAAATCAGATCTAGGTTAACCAAAAGTCTACGGAACGACCGTAAGCAGTGGTGGGCAACGAAAATTAAAGAGATGGAAAAGGCGGCGGCTGAAGATAATACAATACAGCTCTTCAAACCAATAAAAGAAACTGGAATTAATAAATCAAGTGTAAGTCAGGCTATTTCGGAAAAAGACGACACCCTCATCTGTTCTCAGTTCAGACGTTTAGAATGATGGGTGGAGCATTTCAGAGAACAGTTCAGCTGGCCTTCAGCTACTCTACAACTACCCTCCATTCCCAGACAGTGTGAATGGAACATTGAAGTAGGTCCCCCAACTCTAGCTGAAGTCCAAAAGGCTGTAGCTAATCTGAAACGAGAAAGGGCAGCTGGTCCAGATGGATTGGCTCCAGAGGTCTTTAAGGATGGTGGTCCAATTTTAGCGACTAGGTTGACTAATATTTTAGCTAAGATCTGGGAGTTAGACGTTATTTCATCTGACTGGGCACAATCACTTATCGTCCCAATACATAAGAGAGGGTTAAAATCATCCTGTGACAACCATAGAGGGATTAGTTTAACTAATATAGTATCTAAAATACTAGCCTCGATAATTATCACACGACTAACTAACTATCGGCGTCCGACGTCGGCCGTCCAGTGCTTCCAGGTTTCCAATGGTAGTCTAACATCAATCGGTTTATGAACTCAATCAAAAACTTAATAATCTGCACCTAGTCTACGACTCCACTAGGAATTGAACCTAGAACTTCAAGTCCTGTGAAAGTATTTTAAAGGTCAAATCTAACTCGTTTATTCAATTCATTCAATATGTTTTCTATTTTCATTTAAGCATTTGAGAAGTCACTCACTTGTCTGAGAGCGTCTGTATTCTTAAGTTTTTTACTTATTTTGCATTAAATAACTTCAGTGATTTTTTCATCAAACATGTCAAAACTAGACCATGAACACGTAAACAATTTATGGTTTCATATTTTGTTAACTCAGTGAGTACTAAGGAATGGTAGGTTTTAAAGTTACGTTGAACATTTGCCTGTCGCTTTTTTTTATCTTGGAATATCATGATTACTTATCATCCGATGCTTCATTCATAGATTACTTCAACTTTCTCAACAAAATAACATCACACTCTTTTCAGTTATAATAAAAATGAAATAATTAAGTTTCAGAATATAAGATTGTTCAACTACTAACATCCTCAAATTTTGTATAAACGCCAATTTATTAACAGAGTATGGAAGGTATACAATCTGCTTTTGCAACCTCAAGTGGTATCCGTCAAGGCTGTCCACTTTCTCCATTTTTGTTTATCTTCATCATAGACATACTGATGGAAATAATGCTCTCGTCGACTGAATTTTTGGGTATTGATTTCCTACAAGGAGGTTCACTTATGAACTTAGAATACGCAGATGAAATAGTCCCGTTTGGTGAAGACGCTGATAAAATGCAGTCTTTTAAAAGCACTGACAAACAATACCAGGATGTTTGGAATGCTTTTCTTCGAGACATAATAAATACAACTGCTCTATACCAAACAATAGGCTATAAGCAAAGATGGATGGTGACTAGCAGTGGAATCCAGCTGGATGTACCTGCATCTCAGAGTTGATGTTCACTCCGGGACTCGAACCCAGTACTGCTCGCTTCGAGCGCCATCGCGTTAACCACTTAACTACTGAGTCCTCATAGCCATCTTTGCTTATAAAGCTTGTGACTTAAGGCAATATCGAGGCAATCCGCATAGGATGCACATATGCCAACAAGAGACTGGACAATTGCAGTTCTAAACAACAATGGGAAGATATAAGTAAACAATACCAAGTGAATTTAATATAAATCTACATTTAGTATATTAAATAAGTTGGTGAGTCTAAAAATTATAATTACCTAGTTCAAGTGGAAACTTACTGATTACCGCTATCTGGTAACCTTGCTTATCGATTTCAATCTAGAAACTTCACTGGTATTCAAGTAAGGAGATGTGATCAATGCACTCTTAAACATGATTAAAAACTACATTTTGTTTGCCTAAATAGAATTACTCGTGTTGAACAAATGTTATTGGTAAAATACAAGAAATTACGAATGACTTTACAGTTATCAAAATAATAACTATTGGATATATTTGCAATGATTATAGACTGATATGTATTTCAACGCAATTTGTATTTTATCGTGATAGATGCGATGATGAGGACAGGAAGTTAATTTCATTATGAGTGGCAACTTTCTTGGAAGCATTATGCCTGAGAGCAGAAATAAATATACGACTAATAATTTCACTATCTAAAAACCCAATTAATTGTTATAAATATTTAGTCAGTGTATTTTGAAGATTTTAGTTCATATATGATTACTGTGATAGTGAATTCACTAGGGTAAATAAATCACTTGACGAAACATTCACTGATTTTAATACTAGCCTGTGAGGTCAAAAGTAATGCCAAAAATATTACTTACAAAACACCTTTATATCGGTTATTCAGTCATCAATAAAGTAGAGCCTGGCACAAATGTGGCTTGGCTCGAGTTGCCTTACTAAATTAGCATGAATATAAAGAACAAAATAATGTAGTGGTAAAGATAATGAGAACGACTGAATATCGAGTAGATAGTTTGAAAAGACAGAAGAGTATTTAATTACGAAGGGATCTTGGAATTCAGGATTGAAAGGGAAACAAAAAGTGAATGCACAATCGCGATGCCATCCAAAGTCCCCGATCAATGATTGAGGTTATCACGCGAACTCTAAGCGGGTAGTCATACCTTGATTTGGTCGTCTCTAGGTTTCTTTCAAACCACCCTAAAACAACGAACATAGTTTTTTAATTGACTTATACACTAGGTACATGAGCATTAACCACATTATAAGCGTGGAAGCTAAGGATCCTGCCCGGTCACCTAAATCGAAGTAGGTAGAGCAGGGTGAATGACTGAAGATTAGGTTTTAACCACTAAACTACCGCTTCAGCAAATATTGTCCTAATTTGGTTGCAGCCCTAATTTCCCAATGTGGTTTTGTTTTCTGAACTAGCTTTTGTGAGTTACATTGCTCTGTTCGACGGTCAGTGATACTACCCGACTGGGCAAACAAAAGTAGATGGCGAAAGGTTGAACCTAGAACCTACTGATTGAAATAAGTCCTGTTAACTGCTAACACTATTGTCCCGTCACAGTGAGTATTAACTTGTATGTAAAATAACAGGTGCATCCACTCTTTGTGTTTTCCCAAATTATAATCTTCTGAATTCTTTATGTCCCTTTTTTCCTCTTTCCAAATTTATTTCACTGTATTATACTCTTTGAATAACATCTGCAAACCCTAATCTTTCCGATTACTGCTCATACTCTTACTACCTCTACCACTACGGGATTTGAATCGGCAACTGCATCTCTGTGCTAATGTGGTATGGTAACTCGAATTGATGTACGTACGTACGAAGTTCCACGTTGTTACTGACTGATTGAAAATAACAGTAAATTTAAGCATTAGTTATTCTACCAGGGTCGTTACAAAATAATCCAACTTGTTTATTGCTACCTACCTATCTGTAAAAGAAACAAGAGGGAAATACATAATCTGTATTACCACTTACAAGATAATACAAACTATAATGTTAAACGCTGCTGGTTCAAAATTCCTATTTGAAAACAAAAAAGTTCAATAAACCAACCTATATGATTAAGTTGAGGAAAAATAGTGAATCCTCCATAATTCCCATCCAATTGATTTAGAGCAGCACGACGAATCTAGCATAGCAGAAATAAGAATGGCAGAAAGGTATACCATTGAAGTTATTTATATACATTGAGAAAGTGCATGAAAATATGCCTACAAATGTGAGGGATATGTTTATCATCATATATTACTAAACGACCGGAAATAGTACTGGATGTTAATCATAAAACTCATTCAAACGCCACACTTGGAAAGTCATCAAACGACAAAAGCCCTTGTTTTAAAATGATTTTATGAATTAAATAGCAATTTTCATTTTGTAGATAGAAGATAGAAAATATATACGTGTTAACAAAAAAAGTCGTGGCGATAAAAAATTGAAGACAGAGCTACGGCGCACTTTTTTCTCAAGTTGGCTAGATTTTACGAGAACACACAAAATGTTACATGCATCAAAACCTCGGATAAATTACTGTAATTGGTTGGAAGATATGATGGTGTGATGGATCAGAAAGAGAAATATGTCTACTTGAATTTTGATAAGCAATAGCTAATTTCATTTGCAAAACTTTTATTAACACATAGAAACCTCGAAATTACGTTTACACCAATGATTTGGTGCCCTCTCGTACCAATATTTATGTGTTCAAATAAATAAATAAATAAATTACACCAATAAGAGAGAAGGCAAGATAGCTCAGATTTTGCTAAGACTTATTAAACTTATGTTGTAGTATTTAGCTTCGAGACTACAACAGGAACACCCTCATTATGAACTACATACGTTTCTTCAACATCTCGTCTTTCAGACTTCTGTAAGTAACCGTAAATAATATGTAAACAGACGCTGACAACAAATTAAGTATACTTACAATAGCCTATTTCCCATCTTGATAACTTTATTCAGTGTAGGTTTGTACGATCGGTTTTGAATTATACTTGTTCCTGTGACAACTAGAGATACTGTCTGGCCACCCAATTTAAAATAGAATGGGTTCTGTTAGAGGGACATAGACTGGATTAAAGTACGCTCAATGCACGATTGCTCTGGTGCACGCTGATTGGCTAATTCTTGTCCAATCAGTGTTAGTCAATACTTAGTGAACACTCTAGAAATCTCATGTGAAAAACTATAAATATACTAACGTTTTCCCTATTGTGCTTCTTACTTCCATCTAACCTTGTTATTTGGAATATAATCTCTTTCCTGTTCAACCGTGTTCTGATTTGGGGACTTGTCGAGTGAATCGGTGTCCGAGAATACTAAGCAATAGTTATAGCTGAGTTATAACCGTAAGCGAGAAATATAACAGGTTCGGACATGGATTTCGTTAGGCAACGCGTATACAGCCACTGATAGAGAAGTTCTATTCATGTCTTCTCGTGGCGAGAGGACGAAAAGCATAAGTCCGGCACATTAACCGGGTTGGTGGACACGGAGGATTTACCCAAAGGGGAAACCCTGATTCCAAACCAATGGTGCACTTGGGCTCCAGTATCCTGAGGGAACAAATGGCGTATGAACCAATCGTTGGTCACCGGCAACCGTGGGACTGAATATCCTTACGTTGTTTCACTGCCTTGTGGATCAGACCTTTAGGCCGAAGGTTCCAGATGTGGCTCCCTAAGAAAACCACCTGCTTTGGTCTGGACACCCGAGAAGTACCACAGCCCACACACAAATCAATTTACTTGTGTGGCGCATATGTATTCGATGCCCCTTTGTATCAACATTTATTTGCTCAAATAAATAAATATAGTAAACTGATGACGCATGTAATTTTGTGTTCTATTAGAAAGAGGTTCTAATTAATGGTTTCCATTATCTTGAGGATCCCACTCAGCAGGTTTGAACATTCCAGGATAACTGAATCTTGACGTCATGTTTTAAACATAAGCAATTCAGTAGGTGAAGTTCATAATCATATAGACTGGCTTGTCCTAATTGTCTCTCTGCTCTTAACATCACTATTATTCAACTGGTAGACTGGCACCTTTTGGTGAAAACACAACCAACAGACTATGAATACATGTAATTGAATACCTGTAATTCATCCCAAATGATGATGCTCTGTATGTGGCGTGAATACTAAGTTATTTGTATCTTTATCAAGCTCTTAGGACGATCAGGAACAAGAACACAAATTTAGTCGTTAGTACCATCTCAAAGTTGAAAGTCTACTGAACCACATAGATTCGGGTTGTTTTGAAGCTTCAATTTGGTATTGAATAACCACAGACTTGACGATTATATGGAACACATGAAATATATCACAATAAAATTGTGATTGTTTCTTACAAAATAAAATAACCAACTATTTAGATCAAGTTCTGGAGACTAATGCTGATTTCTGTACTTTATTTAGTGCCGTCCCTTAGTACTTATGGGACCAGGCCATTAGGTTCTGCTGCCTTGAAGAACTACAATAAATATGCTATAACTGCCACTAATGCAGAGTGGAAGTGATTTATTGATCAGACACCATAATCCAATATTTACTTTAGAGGCACTCATTATTAGCACTGTTGTACAAAATCTAGAGCACAAGTTTGGACTACGACCATGTTCATGTGAGGGCAGGTAAATGTTTGAACGTGGAGAAATTACAACAGAACGATGCAAATGTCGAGACTTTAACGAAGGAACAATTAATATGGTACAGTGGAATGAAAACTTTTACTGTGGGACTTGATTTTCAGCTTGTAATAAGAATAACAATAAAGGCTGTTGGGAACAATGGATAATAGTAGCTTTTGCCGAACCAAAAGATGGTCGATGATATACCAACGAACTTAGAACACGATGAGCACAACAAAAAAACTCAATTGTAAATCGATTTTTTCTAGATAGTGATTGCGAGAAGAGGTGGAAAACGAAGACAAAAAGTAGGAAAGTCAGAGAATGATTAAATTTAAAACGGAGGTAGTGTTTAAGAAATAAGCTGGTAGTGAGAGGAAAAATAGTTTATTCTTGTAACCAAGATTTACTTTTGTTCCCTTTAGATCGTCTGGTCAAACTTATGCCTATGACTTGATCAAATAAAGATGTACAATACGATATCACCTAGTCTTAGGTACGAAAATAACCATAATTACTGTTTCTTAGGTTGATTCTTCACTTTTATTATTTCTTCCTACTGGTGGCGCCATTACTCTGATATTTTTCCCTTTAATGGCTTATTTTCACCGTTGGATGCCGGCCCAGTGGTTTAATGGTTAAGCGCTCGCGCGCGAGACATAGGTCCTTGGTTCGAACCTCGCGAGGTGGGATCGTCGGGGCGCACTGCTGAGTCCCATACTAGAACGAAACGACCATCCAGTGCTTCCAGGTTTTCCATGGTGGTCAAGATTTAATTGACTCATGATTTCAACGATTGCTATATTAAAAACGCATAGTGAGATCGTATCACACTTTATTAGTACTGCAATTCCAGACTCATGCAACTCAATCTAGGTAGATTTAACTCTACGTAAAATTTACCCTAAAACATCAGGGATATAGATATTCTGGTGGTAAAAGGATTGACACTGAAGTTTGATAACAAATGTAAGAGTTTGAAGAACTTGGGCATCAAAGAGGTTGTGGATGGAACTAAGAGTGAAATTCAAGCCCATAGTTTTTATCTATGTCCTAGTTTCAGCATTTGCAGTAGAGAGAATGTTGTCAACTAAGTCACTGAAGCAGCTGACTAATTAGTGAAACTGATGTACAGAGTACCAGCCTAAATATTGAGAGTGAAAATAATGCTATATGGATAACACTACAGTGAAGCCAAGTTGATATGTTGCATAATATTCTGGGTTTAGAGAGTTCGAGTCTTTCTGCACCCACTTTCATTTAAACAGTCGGATAAAACCACTGCCTCTCAAATAGCGGCTTAAAGATGACTGTATGAACATTATTTAGTATTTAAACGACCTTAATTCTGGACAATATCTGATATGTTATTTCAGCTTCTCGTACACAGTAATTTAGACTAGGTTTGTATTAACCCAAAGTTCTATTGCGTAAACCTTCGTCAAGCCTTGACCAGAAAGAGCTTTATTAGTTCATTAACTTTATTTGTTATTCCTTATTGACTTACGACGTTGTTGAGTCATCTTACTACATTTAATTTGTATTTTTTCTTCAGGTTAGAAATGAAACCACGTAACCTGACGCATTTTGTGAAACATTTCACATCCTGAAAAAGGGTGAAGCAATAATCCCAGTCAATGCATCCAACTTGCTAGGGATGATATTACACTCGATCTCAATTTAAGCGAGGTTTTGGCAATTTGAGGTTATTATCAGGATAAATGAAATGAATGCTCAGCTCGAGTCCCCAAACCGTCGCTGAGTAGGATATTTACAGTATGAAGGTACACAAAGTGAAATGACTCAAGGTAACATTCTCTTGGTTCTAAACTCTCACGTGTCAAGTTTTAGCTTGCTTGTAACTGACTGATTGCTTTAAATCATGTAGAAACATGCTACTCCATTCAACTTGTGGAATCTACATAAGACTATTTTAACGATATCAATGATCAACAAACTGGGATGAATCTTTATGTTATTTTCTACTTTAACTCAAACTGGATTAATAGACAGGTAACGATGTTATAAACCTAGAAAATTACTAAGAATAACTGTTTAGTTGCAATAGAATGCTACGGGAATACTATCGAGTAATTATTAACGATCTACATAACACAAAAACGTTACTCAAAAACTGACGTTATATTATAAATTAACTTACTACATGCTAACGAGGAAACAGTCCTCAATTTCTAAAGAGAAAAGAATGTGTAGTCATGTAAGTCAGGTGTTTGTACTAACCACTTAGGCTAAGATGTCAAATATGAGTTTAGTACATGTGTATTAAGTGTTAGCCTTAGGTTTAAGTCGAAAACCACCAATCATGGTGACTACGGATAAATTTGTAGGTGGTGAAGTGATTTAGTAAAATATATGCATACTAATCACCGTTTAGAGCATCAGAATAAACACAACCTTCAACCAACCTGGTCAGAGTCAGAGGTAATAAGTGTGGCTTCCTGAAATCCTCCTTGAGATAACATCGAATCCAAATGAATCTGTTGTCGATTGGAATCTCCAGGCTGTTCCGTGGACTTTTCTTGTGGTAGCCTTTATACAAGCATGTAAAAACTCAAACTAGTTACCTTGATGCAACTGTATCTGTTATTTTTTGTTGAAGTGAGGACGTCACCTTTAGAGCGTAAGTTAGTTTTGGAGTACTCATCTTTGGGACTAAATTGGCAGCCTCACGGAGCTAACAAAAGTATGTGTTAGTATCAGATGAATAATTCATACCAGCCTCTCAAACAAAGAATCAGCATCAAGCATCTTACGTTTTGGACAGTAGCCAACAGAGACCGCCATACAGGAATACCTTGACTAACCTAAAGGTTATGCAAATAAAGTAACTTGTCATTCTTTTTAATTGCATAAACACACTTTGTTCGTCTTTTTTAATGAAAAAACTGCAAGAATTTTATTTCTGTTGACAAACTGTAAATTGAAAATAGATGTTGAAGTTAATACTCACCCTTTGAACATTCGCTTTACTACACAATGACTGTTGGATCACTAAAGTATAGAAACCAGGTCACGAAACTTCATAAAAAATAGATAGTTTTAGGAGCCTGAGTATTCACTTGAAAACATACTGAAAGAATTACCACAGGCCAACCGAACTACGATTCTTACCACTGAGGTGGACTATAGCATTCGAAGTTTGTGCTCTTATCACTTTTTGTGTGTACACCTGATTAAAAGCTTTCACTCGAAAATCATGATCTGATCACAACACGACTTAATATAACATGCTTCTCTCCCTCTAGATAGTCAGTTAAGTCAACTCGTTCTACTATCTTGAATGACAAAAAGCCAGCATTTGTTGGACGTTCAGAATGCTATGTGAGTCGGTTTGTATGTTTCAGTAAATGTAAAATTTCACTGAACACAACGTATTTAACCCGTTTTCACAATCAGTACAAAGGTCAGAAGAAATCATATGTTGTTTAGAATGCCTTTTGATTGGATGGGAGCTAATTAAATTTGTCAGTAGATTTGGCATAATGGTAAAAACGGAAAGATTCTTCCCTGAGATCGAACCACAACACAGTTTGATTGATCTAGTATGAGCATCGATCAGTTCACCTAAACTGTCTGTCTAGTACCAAGGACCACCGGCTATCTAATGACACTGTATTAGTGAAATGATAGTTGAGAATAACACTTGATGTCTATTTGGGCCGAATGCATTTTATCTTGCTTACTTGTTTGGGAATGATTGAACTATCTCTGTCTGTAGGTGTGTCACAGAATAAAGTTCCCTCTCCTATTTCTAGCTGTTTGATCTGTCTGATGTCAAAGACAACTCATGTTGAAGCTAAGTGTCTTCTTTTTTAAACTGGATGAGTTTAAGAAAATCGATACCTTTCAATTACATTGCTTTCCTCTAGAAATGTGTCGTTTATCTGCAGTAAACTGCGAGAGGGATTCCAATTACAGAGACTATTTACAGGAGTGCTTGTCAGAAGAAAAGAGAAGTTCATTGTCAACGAACGGAGTGAACGCCGAGGTTGGCAGGGATTGTCTACCCATTTCTATAAGACCCCCGATTACAGAGTCCGGTCAGCCTACGGCAATACTAACGAGAGCCATCTAAAACAGTGGATGGGAACGGACGGAACATAAATATCCGAAGTTTTAATAAAATATATGTGTATATTTCTTTCAGAACAGACACACCATTTTTACAACATGATCTACAATTTACAATATCGGTTCGCTTATAGTATGCTTTGAAAGTGGGATTGTTGTATAAATGAAATAATTGGAAATGAAAGACAATACACCCGTACTGGTTTCTTCTATCAATATCACGTCGGGCCCACCAGTTTCGTCCCTCTACGTAACCCTCGTGTTATTGACAGAAGAAACCAGACAAGTAGTGAATAGGTCTTTATTTAGATCTTCGTGCAGTCACATTGGAGCATGGGATTATCTGTTCAGACAAACAGAGCCTTTCAACATTCAACATAAGATAATAGGAAATATAACGCCTATGTAAAATAAGGAAGTGAATGAATACTTGAACTATACTGTTTTGACATATGCTTAGCTGTTTGAGTTGAAATCTTAACTAATCAACCTAAGCTGTTACAGTGGTACTGGTTCCTAACCACACGATCTTTGAAGCTGAACGTATAATTAAGGAGATTTGTAGAACTGTGGTCTAAGTTCGTTGCCAGTACTGTTCTACTAATAGACCTAACCCTAAAATTTTAGATTTGTCATGATTTGAAAACTTAACCATAAGATCTTACGTGGACGTCACATCATTGCCAAACTTAGTCGTCGTAACAGTCGGCAATATGATACTTATTGCTTCTGAAGAACACATTTAGGCTGAAGATAGAATAATGTATTTAAGGCGAATGAAGACAGATTATACAGAATGACCACGTCTGAGAGGCTGAGCCATACCATTTGACTCAATTGAACGAATATTCCCTCGTTCACCATTGTTCGCCTTCTTTCTGTGCTAGCTGTTGAATATCTGTTTGCTCAGTTATCTCATGTTCAGCTTTGAGGGTTGTGTGGTTAGGATCAATACCGTTACAGATTCGCTGTCATCGTGTAACTCGAAGAAAAGGTCGATGATTTAGAACGCGGGAACATTAATTAAACAACTCGGTTTGTATGGATCATCTTTGCAAACATGGTTATTCCTGTGTAACCTATCTCTTAATCATAATAAACTTACTGTTCTATCTCGAGCCTAAGTGTGTTCTTCGGAAACCCTGAATATCATATTGATGATTGATACGATAAGACGAGTCAGAGTAGGTAGTGATGTGACTTTCACATCATGAGAAATTTACAATTTTAGGATTAGGTTTATTATAGCAGTACAAATAGCGAACTAGACCATGATTTTACAAGTTCACATATAACAATTTGGTCATTATACGTCACACCGTCGTACACTATGATGGGAATTTTGTAACCTAGGTTCTCTTTTGAAGGAGGCAACATAGGTTTCGGTGTTTGGATTTGATTATGATCTCAGCAAGTTCCCCTACTTGTTAATACTTTTTAGTTTTGACGTTTCACTTCTAAAAATACAGAGTATATTCGGTGTAGAGCACCGGTATTTTGATATACAATACATCCTTTTTAGTTTCGCAGCGTCTACCAGGTGTTTCGCTTGATATAGGGGGTTGTTTCAAAGGCAGTTATGGAGGGAATAGTAGTGTGCTGGAAAGGTTTAAATCACCACAAATAATTTTGTTGGTAAAATCAAGGAAGGTAGCCTTGGTAAATGACTCACTTATAGTAGTGTGAGTTTTACTAGGATTATTAGGAGTTCGATATATATATCCAGCTAGTATTTTACATTCATGAGAGTATACAGTAAGCTATGCAGTGGTCTTGAGTGCTGTTAGAGGTATGAGGTTGTATGCACTCACTGTCTTCTATTTAAACTATGAGATTAAAATCGCTTCATATCGTTCTTTCTACATACTAATTTTTTCTTCCTGTACCGATGCATATATGTGCCTGGTCCTACGTTGTAGCTAATTGACTGACTGATAGTAAGCCATACTGAATCAAGTAATCTGCCGAAGACAATTCGCCATGGATTTCTATCGTTATATTTTTAGATGCATATATAAGGCAACCACCATCCTTACTAGTGACTCGATCGTAGTGGAAGAGATCATAAGTGTCTGTTTGTCCATTTGAGTCTGTGACATCAGGGGACAGCCAACTTCCCCTTATCAAAGTAAGTGAGAGGTTGTTTCAAAGTGGGTGAATCTCTGCCTCGTACAGACCGAGAGCTGATTAACAGGTTGGGTGGGTATTTGTTTGGTAGAAGAGGAAAAGCAGGAATGTAGCGGCACTGGACCATAACCACACAATCCTCAATGCTGAACACGAGACAACTCGGAAAACAGATATTCAATATGTAACGCGGAGAGATACCTAACGATAGAGAAGGCGGGAAGAATGTATTAAATAAGTTGGAGTTGATCGGATGGTACGGCTCGGCCTTGCAAGCGTGGTCCCTACTGAACGTTACCTTATATCTTCTATTCATATTAAATATATTAACCTTTCTCTAGCCCAAGCTTGTTCTCCATCATGTATTGGTAATTGCTATGACACAGTGAGTTGGTGTAGAAGATGGTATAACTGTAGAACTATGGTCTACTATGATATTAGTACTGCTCTAATAATAGACCTAATCCTAAATTTGTAGATTTGTCATGATATAACTGCCTAATCTATAAGATCTTACGTGGAAGTCACACCATCGACTACACCAACTCACTGTATCGTATCAATTACCAATACATGATGTAGAACAAGGTTAGGCTAGAGAAAGAACAATATATTTAATATGAATAGAAGATATAAAGTAACATTGAGATGGACCACGCCTGCATGGCCGAGCCATGCCATACGATCAACTCCAGTCCATTCAATTCATTGTTCGCGCCTTCTCCATCGTTAGGTATTTCTCCGCGTTAAATATTGAATATCTATTTCCTGAGTAGTCTCGTGTTCACAGCTTTGTGGATTGTGTGGCTATTGTCCAATGCCACTACACTACTCTCCCACCAGAATCAACGTGATGTTGGTTCGATACCAAATTGGATGGGATCGTCGCGCGCCGGAGGTTACCAAGGATAATAAAGATCCTCCGGGTATTGATAAGCTGAAAGATAAATCAAAAAGAAAGCGGCAGCATCTGGTCGGGAAATACATGTAATAATTTTAAAATATCTGCCTTCATGCTTAAAATGCTTGAAATGAAAATTTGGGTGAAGATTATTTGAGCTATAAAAAATGGGATTACAATAATAATAATAATAAAGTGATGCGTGTTAATAGCCGTTGGTTAATAACTTAACGTATAGGTAGTAAGTATTTTGTGTTTAGAAATATTAAAGTAATGAATATTGTAGAAATGTTAATATTGGTATTAGTTTTGGTTTAAATTATGAAATCAAATAACGATTATGCCGGTAAGTTGTCCATGAGTTGATTTTCAATTGCATCTGTATTAGTAGGCTAACTGAAGGAACAAAAGTATACCGTGGAGAAGAATTCCAACTAGTGTTCCAGTTAGTTTGATACGGTTTATTTAGTTACGGGGAGATTTTCTCAACCTCATTTTTACTTGACCGTGATAGAATTTAGTAATACTACTAATACACATGAATGGTTATCAAAACAAAATTTAAATACATGGGTGATAATTATATGAATTTTGGACAGATAGCTAGGAACAAATCGTTAAACATGAGTGTATTCGTAAGAGACATGCTCTAGACTCAATGTTCTGATCTGCAGAAGACTATTTATTTATATTTATACTT